GAGTGGAGAGATATATTTACTATTTTCATGACATTGTGTAACTAAAATACTACAAATGCTTATTTGTGATTTTCAGATTTTAGTAATATTGTATAATTTATTATTCAGTTAGACTAAGGAGCACTAAGAATACTTTTGACTTCTCCTGATGGAACACATAGAGGATAATTAACAGATATCCAGATATTACCTGAGGGACAGGTAATTATGTGTAATTTATTTACCTTGAATCAGATATAAATTGATGAACCAAACGAGCAGATGAAAATATCAGTGCAGTGAGTCTCAAGGGGAGGGTAGAAAAACTTAATTTTTTTCTGTAAAAACCTCTGTGGATTGAAACAACAGGAAGACAAAGCAGATTCTCCATTAAGGTAAGTAGAAACATTGGTCATTGACTATTGCAAGGCCTTATAACTTAAATGAAGTTATCACCAACATCTTGAAGGCTCCAGATACTATAAAAGCATGTCTTCCTCATTTGAGAACTTATCTGATGCTCTTGGATAACCTTAGAATCATGCTAAAGTTTTGTTTTGTTTATTCTTAAGATCAGATTCCATACAAGTGCACTCTTTTACTAAAAAAATTATATATATATATATATGACCTTTAAAAAAAGCTGTTTCTTTTTCCTCTATGTACTTCTCTTCCATCAACTAGGAGTGATGTGGAAGACAGACCTGTTACAAAGTGACCCGAACTCTGTGTTGTTCCTTATCAATACCAGCTTACTTTTCAAAACTACTGAATGTGTTAGTCATGTATGATAACAAAGATCTTTATCTATTATTTTTTTAATCAAGTGCCAGTGTCCACCCTCAGGGCTTGGTTCTGTGAAGGAAAGACTGAAAGAAAGAAAGAAAAACACAGAAGCAGAAGATGCAGGTGAACAGAAGCAGAAGATGCAGGTGAACATAGTCAAAGTCCGCTGCTCAGTTGTGCTGAACTTCTTTATACATTTTACCAGGCACAGCGAGCTGTTTGCAAGCTTTCAAGGATGTGATTGAAGTTCTACAGTTAGAGATAAGGACTTCAGTGTAGATGTTTTTTGATCTTGTTACTAACGTGTGTGATCCTGTTATACGTCATAGGTAAAGCCAGATCACTTGTGCTGTTCCTCTGCAGCTTTGAGGAAGGCTGTCTGAGTACGCCTCAAAGAGGATATCGGGCAAGTCCTAGACATAGAATAGGCATCACATTTCCTAGCCATAGTCAGGATACTTCCTGTACCCCGCAGATTTTTCCAAAGAGCCCCTGGAATCTAAGGCATGTGTCAGCTGGCTCAAGTGAGTAATTAACAAGGCATGCAAATAACCACTTCATAATGCCAGGCTGCATACCCTCACAATTAAGTGTGTCTTCTCTCTCATTCTTCAGTTCCTATCTAGAAAGGGTTTCTTTAATGGAGAGGTGTCATGTTAGAGTTTGAGAACTTATTCTAAACACAAAATGAGTTTATTTAAATTGACTTCACCACTTATTTTCTATTTTTTTTTTCTTTTTTGGAGAGGTTTTTGCTATAGGGCGTGTGCGCTTGCCAGACAGAGAGACAGAAAGCGAGAAATCACCCCCCAGAGGGGATGGCCATGCCGCAATCCCTTCTCCTCCATTCTCCTCTCAGGATCTTGGGCACACATGCACACGTGCACAGCATGAGTTTTAACCACTTGGTCCAGAACTTGAAATGCAGTCGACTACATGAGAGTCCAGCGACATAGCCATTATGCTAACGGCTGGTCCCTTCACCACTTATTTTCAAAGGGACTTTTCTTAAGGTTTCCAAAGTTATGAAACTCAGCCTCATTGTCTCTTGAATGGAGATTTTTTTTTACTACCTATTTCCTAGAGTTATTGTGTAGACCATGCAGGTTAATGTCTGTGGAGTCAGAATGTGCCTGACATATTATGTATTCTTTTTGTTCTTGACAGTCTTTTGAATTCTTCTTGCTGGACTTCTTTTATTGATTCCTCATTAAATGTTCATGAATAAAAGGACTGGTCAAGTCCGTTTCATGCAGAAGAGGCACATAGGAATGGGAGATTATATGAGGTAGTGAGTCAGTCAAAAAGAGCATATATGGAAATGTCTTACTGAAGAAATGTACTCTTGTATAGAATCTAGCAGTGTTCTTACTATGATCTATTAAATAAATAATTCCTCTTATGCTTTAGGTATTACTTATAATGTCACTCTCTCAAAAATGTCTTCTGTGGAATTTCAAGGAGTTTATATTTCATATTATCCTAATGCATTTTCCTATTTAATTTAGTTAGCAAGTATTATAATTTACTATTATGTTGTTTAGAAGTTTCTGTAACATAGTTTTTAAAATTTATTTATTTAACTTTATATGTTACTATTATTTATTAGTCCAACCAGAGAGACAGAGAGAGAAAGGGAAAGTGAGAAAGCAAGCCACTGGGTCCAGGACTCGTAATCCCGTTGGCCATGTGGGAGTCCAGCACCCCAACCATCACATCACCTGCCAACCCCATCTGTAACAAACTTTATCTCTTCCATGTCATTAGCATATCATATCCATGAGGTAAGAGATAAGTTCATTATCTGTCATGTAAACATCATCTGGTACACAGTAGATATTCAATAAATATGTGGTGAATAAATGAATAAAAATTTGATTTAAAAAATAAAAAGCTCTCTGTTTGGTGTCAAAAGGAATGGCTTAGCAATTCTAGGAGTTGTTTTAGTCTTATTTCTCTGATTATTCTTAAATGTCACTTCATCCTTTTCTTCTCACTACTGTATATATATATGTATATATATATATGTATGTATGTATATGTGTATATACATATATATATATTTAAAAGGAAACATTATGTTAATTTCTCAAAATATAAAACTTAGACATTTATGATATTATACTTTTCACTCACTGGAATTAAGTACTTTTCAGATGAGGAAATGACAGGGCATTGGGTTGGTACTCACAAATGAGCTAGGAATTTTGACTGGGTCAAATTATAAAAAGTCAAAGTCAATTATAATTGGCTTTGTTAGGGATCAATGATCATTCTTAAAATAAACAACTCTAGGAAAATATTTATCCATGTAACATGATGGTTCTTTGGCAAATATATACAATATAAGTACTATATGCATACCATAGAATAAAGATGTACATCATTATTGCTATAGCAAAAATGTCAAATCTGAAAAAAATTATAAAAGAGCATTGGGAAGAAAAAGGGGACATTTTCTTACATGATGATAATATATTTTTTTCTATACCAAGTGATACTAACAGAGATGTATTTGTTTTGTGACAATTCATTAATTTTTACATTGCTGATTTGTACATCTTCTGAAATGCTTATTAAATGCTAGTAAATTGTATTAAATAGTATTTAAAAAGTAGATACATTTTATAATTTTTTAAATATAAATTTTATATGTAACAATACTATTTTAAAAGTAGTATAGGGACCACCAGGCAAGATCGTGGTTAAGACACTGAGCTCTCACATGGCCAACTGTGGTTCAGACCCAGTGATTTAAAAATCACCTCAATCACCTTGGTGCGCATGCCCAATATCCCAAGAGGAGAATGTAGCGGAAATGATTGCAGCACGGCTATCCCCTCTCTGTTTCTCACTTTCTCTCTCCAGTGAGTGCACATGCCCTGTGGCAATAGTTTTTAAAACAATAATAATACTACAATGGGTCAGACTGATGTGATCTGGTAATTAAAGGAAGTGGATCCCACATCGCCAGCCATGCAGTTCATGTGTGTAACCCAGCAGCATGAAAGCATGAGAAGTAGGTGTGCACGTGTGCCCCAAAAGGACGGAGAAGCGAAGAAGCAGAGATAGTAGCAAACCCATGCCCCATGTGCGATACTTTCTCCCTCTCTCTCTCTGTTTCTTTATGGATAGTCCACAAGTACTCTGGCAAATTAAAAATTAAAAAATAAAAAAGAATAAAATGAACTTTGAAAACGTGTGAGTTAAAGAGAAAAGAGAGGGAGGGGAAAAGAAGTAGTATCAGTAAGCTACAATGTCAAGAAACCATGAAATGACAAAATTTTACTAATATTTTCTATTAAGAGGTTAAAAAAAACATGACCCGAAAAATAAATCTAAGGACATATCTCCATGTCTTTTGTCCTAGTTAACAAAATAAAAATGAGAAAAACAGATACACATGAATGTAAGAATTTTCAAGTTTAATACACACCTAATGCATATTATGAAAGAATAAAATAAAGAGGCGATGATAGTGCCTAGAATAAGCTTTTATTCGGAAACAGTAAGAAAATTTAGGTTAAGAGATTGCAGGGAACCATTGGTTTATTTGTAGAAATACAATTCCTCAAGCCTTTCTCAGCTTCAATGCAAGTAACATAAAATATAAATTATGGCTATAAACATGTGCACACTAAGGACATTTTCATGAATTAAATATATTGTAAAGGAGTTTAAACTCTCAAAATATCCCATCATTTGGACTATTTATTTAATTTATCATACTCAATTTGCCATGCTTGCTTTTTCTGTCTCTCATAGGATTGCAAAGTTTATTTATTAGGTCTAGAAAACTGAATTAACACCTGAGTTAGATTAATTAATATATTATTAAAATAACTATCGCCCAAAATATTGCTCTTGCCATTTTGTGATTGTTCTAAAATCCTTTACTTTCTTTTTCTCTTTTTGAGAGATTTTTTGCTATCGGGTATGTGTTCTGATCAGATAGATAGAGAGAGACCAAAAGTAATAAATTACCAGCCCCTCCCTCCCGTCCCAGGGCATAGCATGGCCACAATTTCTTCTCCTCCATTCTAGGGATTTTAAGCATGTATATGCACCCGGCTTCGAGCCACAGGGTCCTGAATTTCAACTGCAGTTGGCCATGTGGGAGTTCAGTGCCTTAACCACTATACCACCTGCTGGCCCCTAAGATAATATATATATATTTTTAAATTATATACATGCCTTCTTTTCTTCCCAAAACAGATGAATTTTCAAATTCCTACATGGCTCCCAGAAATTTCACCCAGGTCACTGAGTTTATTCTCACTGGCATCTCAGTCACTCCACAGCTGCAGGTTCCCCTCTTCCTGATCTTCCTGGTGATCTATGTGCTGACCGTGGCAGGGAATCTGGGCATCATCACCCTCACCAGCCTTGATTCTGGACTCCAAACCCCCATGTACTTTTTCCTGAGGCATTTGGCTATCATCAATCTTGGCAACTCTTCGGTCATTGGCCCTAAAATGCTGACTGCTTTTGTAGTGAAGAAAAATACTATTTTATACTATGAATGTGCCATCCAACTGGGAGGTTTCTTATTTTTCGTTGTGTCTGAGGTCATCCTGCTCTCTGTGATGGCCTATGATCGCTACGTGGCCATCTGTAACCCCCTGATGTACATGGTGGTGATATCCCCACGGTTGTGCCGTCTGCTGGTAGCCCTCACATACCTCTATGGCTTTTCAACAGCTGTCGTGGTTTCCCCTTGTGTATTCTCCATGTCTTATTGCTCTTCCAATGTAATCAATGATTTTTACTGTGATATTGCACCTCTTTTAGCATTGTCCTGCTCTGATATTTATGTACCAGAAACAGTAGTTTTTATATCTGCAACTACCAATTTGTTTTTTTCCTTAGGTACAGTTCTAGTATCTTATTTCAACATTGTTTTGTCCATTCTAAGAATACGCTCATCTGAAGGAAGGAGAAAAGCCTTTTCTACTTGTGCTTCCCATATGATGGCTGTCGCTGTTTTCTATGGGACACTGCTATTTATCAATTTGAAGCCTCGAAGAAGTCACTCATTAGATACTGACAGCATCAGTTCTTTATTTTATACCATGGTGATCCCAATGCTAAATCCTATGATCTACAGTCTGAGGAATAAGGATGTGAAGGCTGCCTTAAATAGAGTCATGACAAATCCACACTATTTCTTTAAACCAATGTAATTTTCAAACATTGAATGTAAATTAAGAGCTGTCTAAGATAGACTGTTCTTACAAGGTTTTTGGAGAAGTCTTGATGCAGTTTATTTATTTATTTTTGCATAGAAAAACAGACATCAGTAGTTTTCCAACAACCCAATATATAAGAGAAACCAAAGTTTATGGTCTATGGGTTTACAAGTAATCCTGAGAATTAAAAACAACTCATGTTTGAGGACTCTTGAATTAGAAGACATTAAGTGAAGCTTTTAGAGCTGTGATGGTAACCCTAAAACTACGATATTCCCCAACTTTAACCAGGAAATATCTGGTAGCCAGTTTGTAATAAATATTTCCAGGAGTCAACAGAGTTTCATTAATGATTTATATAAACTTAAAAAGAGCAGAGAGATATAGACAAGTGAAATAAATTTGCTCCCCTTTACTCATTTGCTTTTGTATTATTTCTTCTTGTATATGATAAGCTATGGTGTTTTGCTACCTCCTGAGAACTATAATTGCAGATGGCTTATTCTTTTTTAAAGGTAAGTTAATAAAATTGAGCTGACAATTACATTAAAAATAAAATCCTCCTGGGCCAATTCCATAGTCTAATGGTAAAAACTGGATCCTGCATGACCTACTGAATTTCAAAACTTGGTTCCTGTGGCTTGAAAAATGTTGTGTGTGTGTGTGTTTCTTCAAAATACTGACAGGGTACAGAAATGGAGAAGAGGAAGAGTGTAGCCACATCCTTCTGGAGATCGCTTTGTCTCTCTTGCTTGCTGTATGTTACCCCATATCTCTCTAAAAGGGTATACATCTTCTGGGAATTAGAAAAAAAAAAGCAAACAAAAATAAGATAAATAATAAAATTAAACTCTCTATTTATTATTATTATTATTATTATTATTACTTGAATGAATAAGTGAACATAATTGATAAATTGATATTCTGAGTGCTGACCAGAATAGTACTCAAGTTATTTTAATTCTTTATTTCATGTTATTTTATATTATTTTATACATTCGATTGGTATACATCATTTGGCTCGAAAAGAGAATTTACCTAACATGAAATACACCTCAGGCCAATCCAATTGAGGATACTGTACACATTATCATCAATAGGTAATAAACTATTTCTGTGTCCCACGGATGCCTTGCCTCTCTATTCTTTCTCATCCAATTATTTCATTTCAATTAGTTAACTTATATAAATTTTAAATAAAAGATCCAGAAGATTATCATTAAATCTTATTTTGTGCTAGATTTGATTTTTAAACTGAGTAAACTCTTTTTAAGTTTAGCTTTCTCATTACCAAAGTTTTGTTCTATATGTGCATGTAAAATAAATGCAGGGACACTGCTAAGAGTTGAATTCTTGATCAACAGAAGTCTGTCAGTGACAGGTGAGAACTTGTGCTCAAACTTGAGTCCTATGGGTTCCACCCACTGCTGCCTGCCTGTGACTAGCTTGAAGAGTACACGCAAAGATGTGCTAGTGTTCAAACATGCCCCAGCCTATACTAACTGTCACTCACCATCAGAGCTTCAACGTGTGTGTGTATATGGATAGGTAGATAACTAGTGATGTGTGGTATATTCAGGTGTGCATCCACGCCCTCAATGGCCATATTTTCCTCCAAAATTTATCAATTAAATTTACATCTAATCGTTTAGTCTGCTACTACCCAGTTGTGACTATGATCTCAGATTAGAGAGTAGTATTCAGCACTGAAATGAGCTTTCTACCTTTTATATCACATCTAACGCTGTCCAAATTTCTCTTTAGTGTTGATGCTCCTGCTTTTATTATCAGCCTTTTCCTAATGAAAAATACACTAAATAAATTAGTTGTGTATGTATGCTGGATTATCATTCAGAAAGAAACATAGATGAAACATTGAGGTATTGCCAATACTTAAAATGACTTATAATATAGCATAAAATTATATCTTAATAACAAATCCACAGTAAATACATACTTCCATATACACAGAAACTCAAGCACAGACTTTATTTTCTTTTCTTGATAAATTTTTTGTTATAGGCCATGTGTGCTTGTCAGAGAGACAGACAAAAAGTGAGAAATTATCCCCCAGGGGGGATAACCATGCGCAATCCTTTCTCTTCCATCAACCCCTTGGGATTTGGGGCATGCACACACATGCACCCAGCATGAGTTGCAAGCCACTGGGACTCAAAATGGAGTTGGCCATGTGGAAATCTAGTGCCTTAAGTACAACACCAGCTGCTGACCCCCATACTTTTTTTTTTTTGATTCTCTTTTTTAATTAAAAAACACTTTTTAATTAATTAATTTACATTCCTTCACAAAGCATCATTACAGGATACAAAATGTGATTTCCCATCCAGAATATACTGCATAGTCGCTTTTTAATACATTTTATCATTGATAATTTTCCATTTCTAGTTTTATATATATATATATATATATAAATATATATATATATCCCAGTATTCCTTACTTCTGCCATTTCCCACCCTCCTCCCACACTATATCTTCAGTTGCTTTCCATTACTTTTTTCTCCCATATTTTATTGATTCACAAAATTTCTTAAATAACCTAACTACTTTCAATAGCAAGTTTAGCTGATATATACATATCTGTGAATACATGTCTGACTCTGAGTAGAATAAATATACTTTAAAGAAGCACCTATTTGATGCTATATATCTTACTATGGTCATTAAAAAGGTATTTTTAATATAATTTTTAATTTCAAGACAAGCAGTTTTAGTTTTAATAAATCAAAGAAATGCTAAGAAACTTTGATTAAAACTTAAAGCCAGGAAACAGGTTAAGATTCTATTCAAATGGTAGGTACATGAACCTATCAGTAGCTCAAGTCAGAACAAAAATCCTTAAAACTGGAATACAAATCCTAGAAGAAAATCACCAACGCTTTATTCAAAAGTCAAGAAATTCTATTTCACCAGTTCAGTCAAATGTACTTAATCTATCTCCTGTTGTGGTTTGATCTTCCCGATTAAATTCTGGGATATAATATTCAACTCCAGTCTTGTCCCTACGATTAAGTCGGCCATTTTCTTAGTTTTTAAACTCTTATTTCTGTATGTCTGCATTTCATTTTCCTGGTATAGCACTCCCTTCAGAACTTCTTGGAGAGCTGGTCTGGTGTTGGTAAATTTTTTCAGGTTTTGTTTATCTGAAAATGTTCTTGTCTTCTCTTCCTATATGTAGGATAATCTTGCTGGATACAGTATTCTTGGCTGAAATTGCTTTTCTCTTAACATTTTGAATGTATTTTCCCATTCTTTCCTTGCTCATATTGTTTCTGATGAGAGGTCCGCTGTTAGACTGATATCGGATATCCTTTGTAGGTAATTTGATGTTTCTCTCTTGCTAATCTTAGTATCTTGTCTTTGTCTGTGGTTTTGGTCAATCTGGCTATCATGTGTCTTGGAGAAGATCTTCTTGGGTTGATTCTATTTGGGAAAGAAATTTTGAATGCCTCTCTAGGTTTGGAAAGTTTTATTCCAGGATTTGATGGAATAGATTATCAATACCCTTATGAGCCTCTTCACCTTTTGGGATACCAATTATTCAGGTGTTTGGACATTTGGTGGTATCTAGTATTTCTCATATAGTATTATCATTTTGGGGAGCAATTTTCTCAGTCTTCGTGGTAGATTTTTCTAGGCCAGTCATTCTATCTTCTACATCTGAGATTCAATTTTCTGTATGATCTAGCATGTTTTTAATACTTTCAAGAAAGGTTTTGACTTCTTGTATTATAGCCTTCATCCCTAACAGATAAAGAACTTAAAATATGCATAGTGACAAAGCTAACAGAGATGGATAAGAAGAGAGACAAACAACTGCAGGAGAGGCAGGAGAAAGGAGCTGACGAGGTCCAGGAAGTGAGGAAATTCCTGCAAGATCTGAAAGAGGAAATACACATCATAAATAAGAATCAAATGGACCTGTTAGAGATGAAAACCCCCATACTTTTTAATGTTCACAGGGTTACCCTGGTTTTCTAAGGTATATATCAAATACAACAGGATATGTGTGAAAAAGAACAAGAAAAATTTTAATGCATTTGGACAAGGGGGAAAAAAATGAAATGTTGCAATATGCAGTTAAGGAGAAAAATAAATTTTATCCAGTATTAGTCAACAGGCAAATGATGCCATGTTATAATAAAAAGAGAACTAATAGTAATACAAAACACATTAAAGAGAAAAATAGAGTGGCAAGACATTTATGGGACAAAGCAATGGGTTATTATCTGTTGAAAATAATGTGTTTAGTATTCTCAACTGGACATGTTGGAATATTGACTTTGCAAGCTAAGTGACATATGTGATTGAATGTGTAAAAGAAATTGAAATATAAAATATGTATTATAAAACCTTTTTTTTAAATGTACAACAAAGTCCAACTGAAGAATATACAGTTCTCCCCTGCATTTTTTTCCCTTTATTTTGTAATTACTATAAAGTACATGGGTTCAACAGAGAGGGGAAAACATTCTCTAAATGAGAATGTTCCTGCTGCAATGCTTTCTCCTTTATTTCTCCAATTTCTCAAGATTTGGGGCAGGTTCACACAGGTACCAGGCATACTAGGCTAGGCTCCAAACCAAGGTCAATCATGTGGGATCCAGTTCTTTTAACAACTAGACTATGAAACTGGCCCTGCATAATTTATTACTTTTATTTCTAGTAAAATTTTAAATAAAACAGTGTCTATAAATTTTTCCACCATGCCACCCAATTCAGGAGACCACTGTCGATAAGTGTGCCCTGTTTATACAATATTTTATCCTATGAACTATTCTATAAATATAATAGTTTTCAAGATCCTTATGGAAATTTAATGAAAATTAAAATTTGACTTTGCGCACAAATAAAAATAAATACCTCTTGCCCTGCTACTATTCCTTTGTACACTCAAGTCTTGACCATGGACCAAAATTTGCCACCAACCTGAGTGCTCTGTATTAAGTAGGTGTTATCTGATGCACCAATAA